GAGAGAGAGAGAGAGGAGAATAAATTCTTCATATCTTTGACACCCTCTCGGGAGGCAGATTTCTTTTCTTTTTATACTTCTTTTAAACCATGCAATTTGATAATTGTAAGAAGTGAAAGATATGGGTTAGATATCTCACGCACGTCAAGTGCTAAAGTAAGGTTGGTGTCTCGGTAGCCGAGCTCCTTCAGAAGTTCTCTCATGTGTAAGAAAGGACTGGAGATCTCCGTTAACCACATTGCCGCAACCATTTCCGAGCCACACTGTAAGAGAAGCCGAGCTGAGAACGACGGGAAGCATATGGATTCATCGAAAGAAAAGGGTATAAAAAGAGAAAAAAAGAGTCGCGGGGCGGGTTACTTACCATTCCGTAGGCAAGACCTGCTGCGATGCCGACAATTCCAACCATATGATGAACTGAATTGTCCATTCTGGGTATCTTGTCGAAAAGGCAGCATATCAGATCATATATCAGATAAGACAGAGTCACGGCCAGCGCTTTCATCTGAAGGATGTTGGAGGAGGAGAAGATGCCCAAAAATTAAACAAGAATCCAGTTGATGACATACCATTTCTCCAAAAATACTTGGGAGTCGAGGCATGTTTTCTATCTCGTGAGTAGAAAGAAGAAGGGAGATGCACAAAGGGAGGCGGTACCTGCAGTTCAGACGACCTCGATGCCAAAGGACACACAGGACATCCCCAGTGCTGTACGGATAGAGAGGCTAATCCAACAGCCACCGCAGCGTGGACGGTGGAGACGACACGGTTGCAGAAATCAAAGGAGCGGTTTCGAAATACATTCCGAACTAGTAGGAAGGTGGTGGTCCAGAACAACACTCCTGAGATCACCCAGCTCACAATGTAATCTTCCATCTCTCCGCGACAACTTGTTCCTGTAATTCAACACCGGACGGTTTCGTCTTCCTCAGAGCAATCTACATCCTCTTCTTTAGCTACCAGACTTGAGAATCATGTTGTGAAGGAAAGACAAGTTGGATCGCATATGACCCGATGATTTGGCAAGGAGAAGGAATCGAGGAGTAAATTATCAACTTTGTAAGAGGAGAACCGATCGAGCTGCTTCCTCTAAGTCGGTTGCCTCGATGATGTTAAGAAGGAATCGGGAAGACCAAAAAGAAGTGAAATTAAAATTCTCAATGAGTACTCTACCTTTGTTCTTATCCAAGAATCAGAGAGATGAGAAGCCTCCCGTCTGAGATTAAGTGACGAGAGAGAGAGAGAGAGAGAAGAACACCTGGATCTTTAATCAATGTGGAGGACAGCTAGAACCAAGTCCGCGTCCCTTGTTCTTAAAGAGCAACATAACATGACTGAGGACACACATATATCATTAACGTCAATTAGTTGGAGTTTGGTATATGATATTGATAGGGCACCTTTTGGTAACCTGCCCTCCTGTCACTATTGACAGTCATCTCAGCGTCAAGATCAACGTACCAGACCACACCCCCCGAACTCCGTTCCGTAAAAGTCGGGACGGAGCCGACCAAGTACAACATCGTTCCGCAAGAATCGAGACGATGTCGATCAAATACAGCGCCATCCCGCGAGAGTTGAGATGACGTCGACCGAGTACAACATCGTCCCGCGAAAGTTGGGACCGCGCCGACCGAGTATAGCATTGTCCCGACCCCGACCTATACGCAGAATCCACATAAGTAGCCGGTGAATCTCATATGCTAGTATGACTAGTCTAAAAGTGCTAGTGCCTAGTATCTAAACACGAAGAAGACCGAACCTTCTTTATACCTCGTAAGAGACGAAGGAAAGTGGATTCTATACTTTCTACGAAAAGCGCTATAATCCCATCGAGAGAGTTAGAGTCTTTGCACTAGTATCGAAAGGAATCCCCAAAACAAAAAGAGAAAGCTGAGATATGTTTTTCCGGTAGTCTGGTTGTCCAGTCCGCTGGAGGACTACTAGTGATACCAATATTGTAGACCAAACCCAACCAACCTTTAACCTCCCCATCCGATGTGCTCCCAACGATAGACGATTTCAGCTGCATGCATGCTGTTAAGTTTGTTCGGCTAATCTCCACCACAATCTCTCAACTAATAATAATAATAATTCATATGGGGGCTGACTAGCTGTGTGCAGAAAGTTCATATATATATATATAAAGGCAGAAGAAAGAGATCCGTTGGCCCATGGGTGTTGGCGTGCGCTCGTCATACCGATCCTACTCGGTGGTAATCTGTCCTTTCCCGATCGAGCAGCCAATGCTCCTCATACCAATCCTACTGGGTAATAATCTGTCCTTCCCCGATCGAGCAGCCAATCGTCACAAAGCAGATTTTTTTTCTCTCACGTAATCTTAGAAGAGTTGTGGCTTGGCAGATCAGTGGACCAGCTAATTATATCCCACGGATATCCTTCGTTTTCGCATCTTCAATTACTGGTTTTTGATTAGCTGCTGTGATATCGACAGAGTAGCCAACTCAATTAATTCGCCTGCCTGTTCCTTCTTCTATCCCAAAATAAACACACAAGTTCATATATATAATATATATATGAATTGCTGTGAGGATACAGACTCCTTCGCTGGCCTACTGCTCCATTGATTGCTCATCCGTCACAACAAGTTGACGTACTTTATACGCTGTGATCGATAGCCAGCAGATATTGTGTGATCGAGTCTAAAAATCCCTGAGCAATTCATAGATTAAATGCAGCGGCCGTTTAGTTAGTTGCACCTGCACCTCCACCTTCACCTGCCTCGTGTGACGCCCATCTATCGCAGCAAGTTGGCATCGATAGCTCCCCATCGACGTCAGCCTCTAGAGATTGAAAGCTGCGGGCAGAGGGAGCATACGAAATGTCCTCAACTGCGTTTGGTGGCTGCATTTATCGTGGCATAGGGTCCGACGATCTGGATTAATAACTCCAGACGACGTGCCACGCAAGTAGATATAAATTGCAGCATCCAGCTGAACTGTGACATATTATCGCGGAGACATACAAACTACTTTATATACATCACGTTACCCCCCAAGCACGCACTTGCCGCGTGTGTTGGCATGCGCGTACGTCCGAGCATTCAGATGCGCAAGCAGGAATACACCTGGAGGAAGTGTCGGCAAGTGAATGATTCCAAAAGACTCTGCTACCAGGAAGGAAGCCTACGGAGAGCAAGCTAAGCATGATCGATCCCGGGAGGACCCAAACTATTGAACTCATTATGTTTCCGCTCCTCTCAGCGTATCGCTTTCACATTTTCCACCTTAAAATTTGCTGTATAATTCTCATCTAAAAATGCACAACTTTTCTATAGATCCTACTCTAACCACAAAGGGAACACGAGCACAAGATCTTGATCTCTTATACATAAAGAAATGATTGGATGCACCGAGCTAGTTGTCCTTTCCATAATAACCTCCTCTGGTTGGGAAGCCAATCAGGATTTCTTTGGAGAATCTAGAAACCAAGCAGCTGCTTGCTGTGGCTTCTCCTGCTGCCACCACAATAAACCTGAGACGAAGAGGAAGCACCACCCGCGTCGGGCATAGGTACTGCATTCGAGAATCACAAGGCCAAGGAGATTGGAAATGAAGAGTCGACACCAAACCATGGACATATTCAAGGCAATGTTCTTGCATCCTCAAGTGGGGGGCTTGCTTGGACTTCCATATATATATATATATATATATATATATATATATATATATATATATATATATATATATATATATAATATGTAATTTATTACTTACGATTGACATTATGTAATTTATTAGTTACCGATTAATATGATTTTTTTTGAGTTATTGACATTTAGCGTTATCTGCCTTGGTGCGGTAGAACTCGGGCACTATAAGTTTTCAAGTCAATTCGTCAGGAAAAGGGAGTTGATATATGGGTCAAACTTTATGGTCCTTAGTACGGCGTGTAGGAGTATTACTAGATTATATATATATGTGTGTGATTCGATCCTTTGACCCCTTGCACCGTCTATTGAGTCATTGGACGTTTACTTGCGGTCTCGTTAAAAGATTGTTAGTCTGCTTATCCGATCATAATATGAAGTTTGATAAATGGAAACGCACTCGGTGGTTGATTGATACGGTTCTTATTTCCTTTTCTTTCTTCTTCCATTAAATTTCTTTTAGTACCTTTCTTGGATTCCTTCCCTGCCATCTTATGGAGCATCTTTTATTATGAATACAATATTTGATACTTATTTTCTTTTGCCTCCCTAAACCTCATTTCCATCAGTATTGTTGTTATCTTGATGTCGTCGATCGAGAATCGACACAACTCGGTTTTATCTCGAAGGTACAAGATGATGACCCTTACGACGATCGAGTTAGGGGATTTCTCAATCCGATCCCTTCGACAATTAAATTGGGGATCAAGTTTTATATCTAAAAAGCCGATGGAGGGAGACCGTAGCTAACAAACACTAACTCGTATATTCTGTAGTACATTTATGAACAATCGACCTGTTCGACCAGTACTGATAACTATCAAGTCGGAAGACTATCACCCAATCGACCGTACGCCGATTTGATTGCCATGGAGTCATTGTTGTGATCCACTGTCTATTTCATAATCCTTCCCTGTTGTTCGTCGTCGAAGGGATGACTCGAGCCTTGCCCTATAACGTCAGCTCCTCGGTGGCTGACACAGTGACTGACACAAAAATATTCCCTATCTAAGTATATCATGTTTTACTCTTGACTTGTTATCCTATAAGAATCTAGCCACAATCAGACGGCATCACTTACATTTAACCAAATGACATTTAAGAACACAACCCGTCCAACGTAGAGACAGAGAAGGATCCTCCATAGTTAACGCATACAACCGACCCACTGCACATACAAATTAGCAAAGATCAGATGCAGAAGCACCGCATCAAAGTAAAGCAATAGCTAATGATTAATTGCACCTCCTGTCATTGAACGAACATCTCGAGCACAGTTCCGTGTGACACATGCTCATCAACACAGCGGGACATGTACTATCACATCAGATTATACTACCACGACTTATTAACTTCAGTTTTTAAGCAAAGATATAACATGAACAATAAAAACGAGCCCACAGAAATATTAACGGTGGGCTCAACTAATATAACTTTTCAGAGAGAGAGAGAGGCCTGGAACTTCACTGCTAGTTCTCTGTACCACCTGAACTATATAAGTTTCGCTTCTACCATATTAACAGAAACATTGTTTTTCTTTTTCCCGTTCGAATTCTTCATGGAGAATATAGCCGGGTGCGCAGATCACAAGTATATACTTTTCCTGCTTGTGCACTTGGACAAATATGATATATGAATTTGTACCATTACCAGAATGATGGCAAGGCTACAATCATTCCCTCCTGTATCTTTCCCAGAAGCCTTTCTTCCTGTTAGATTCATTTTCAGTTGTTGACCGTGAAGATCTACCAATAGAGAAACGTTGCCTCAAAAATGACCTGCCAAAAGACGATTGGGTGCTAGAACTGGCACCATCTTGGGTCCATCACCAACCTTCTTATGACGATCACAGATAGCATCTCCATGTGGATCATTGTCAGCTACTCCAATTCTGGAGAGCTTGTTTCTAGCCTTCGTTTCAGCTTTCTTAAATAGCTTTGCTGCAGATTTTTCTCCATGTGTACAGACAGGGCATGTTGGATCATAGCGGTCAATTTCAGTCGTCATTTTCTCCAAGCATTCAGCATGGTAAATATGTCCACAAACCAAAACAGCAACCACACAATGCTCCATTAATAGCTTTGAGCATACTTTGCAAGTCGGCTGATCAGGAGAGACTTGTGTTGTCTGCTGAGGATTTGATCCTGTTATTTTGCTGCTACTGGAGGTAAGATTATCACTGTCAAATGACCATCTCTCCCTATTTGAGGAAGCCACAAGCTCAGAAAAGGTCCGCATCGACCATCCATCAGAAGACTCACCATGAGAACCTCCTGTAGACAATTCATTGCTCCGGAAAGAGAGCACAAAAGAGTGCCTTCCTTCGGGAGAACTGTTCTCATTAAGGGATTGAAGAGATGGTATCCTGCTATCTGAGATCTGGCGACAGAGTTGAAAGCCCGGTGATCGGCATGCCCTCCTCGATGAAGTAGGATCTAAGGGTACAAAACAACTCATAGACGATGATGGATCTGCTTTGAACGAAGATGAGGAAGGAGTTGAAGGCACTGAAACTGATATTTTTCTGTTCTCATCAAGGGAATGAAGAGATGGTATCCTGCTGCCGTCAGATATCTGCCAAGAGAGTTGACAGCCTGGGGATCGGCATGCCTT